GGGGGGGACCAATGAATTAAGTAAACAAGTCAAAAACTTCAGACTTCATATATTGAATTGGCTACACCTCTGAGGTTGGGAGTAGGGCGATTTACCCTAGTGAGAGAATCTTACTGAAATGATTCGTTTTTCACAAATTGTGTTTCATCAATGAAATTCTATTTATTTGTACTCGTAATCGTATTCGTATCCGAAAAACAAAATTGTATGTTCTGTACCAGAAATGACTACAGTCTAGTATGAGTTTCAGGTGAGCGAAGTGAAAAGCGACATGATAACAATTAGCAGAACGCCTCCCACTCCGCTCATCTGAAACGCATACTAGACTGTAGCCTGTTTTCGTTCTGCATTACAAGGAATCAACCAGTTATGAACCATTTACTTATCCACAACCTTCGTTTGAGTTTCGTACCGGGCCATCCAATAAGCCCTGCCCTTTTAGGCGTAATGGGTTCCGCTTACAGGACGTTATGAAAAGGTCGCCAGTAAAGACTTATATCGCATTACTGGTTGGCAGCGTAAGCTATTTAGCGGGAAATAGTTTGTAAAGTGTTGCTGACTGAACATTCTATAGAATGGATGTGGAATTGGGTTCATTTAATAGTTACTACTCGGTATAAGAGATAAAAGAGCTAGAAAAGTCAAAAGTTAACAGTGTCTATTAAAACGAAACACATGTTCGGGTAAAATAGTATAAGAAGTTTTGAATGGCTTACAAAAAAGTGTAGAAATGCAGAAGCTAGAAAAGAAAGTTTGGTTCGAAAAGTCGCCGTGATTACTAACTTCGATGGAGAAGCTATTCTTTCAAAGAAACGACGACACTTGTTTGACAGTACGGTAGTGAAATATTCAGAAAAGGTTGTTGCTAGTAAAATATCCACCTCTGCTTTTTCATCGAAACTAATATTTTTGTGGTGTTTAAGTGTATTTCTTCAATAATGTGTAGCTTCCTTCAATCTAAGAATGAACCATTCAAAGTTAGACAGATTATTGGGGTCGGGATAGTGGTACTTACGGTTAACGAAATAGAGCGACAGTAATTGATAAAGGTTTGTAAAAAAAGTGTTAAATGGTAAGAACCACTTGATTTGCAACATTCATGATATTGACAGCAGAAAGAACAGTGAAGGTATTCGGTGTTCTATGAGGTGATTTATGGAAAAAGATAAGAGCTGGTGAAGGCTGACAATGAATGCTGCGAGGGAGGAGCCATCGGATCCGTTAGACCTGGAAGAACGTCTCTATTTAGGTGTCATTAATGTAAGATGTTACGATCAGTACTGAGTAATTTTTTTTT